ATTGGAAAAAAGAGCTGCAACTGAAGAGGACTGCTGACATGCAGTTGTTTCCGCTGCAGATGCTGGGGCCTGTCAAGTGGGGGGGGGGGGGGGTTGGCGTGGCACCAACCTATTCTCCATCAATGTTGAAGCGGGCAAGCGACAACCACTGGTGGAACGGGTCCAGCGTCGCTTTCCCCCGTTATGTCAAGGAAGATACGCTGCCCAGCGGGTAATCGCGGAATGCGTCTCCAAAAGTGCAACTCAGAGGGCACATCCCCGTGTCAATAGTAGGTGTTCCCTATCAGCGAACACCACCACGAACATGTTCGTCGCTATGACGACTATTCGACTAATTGAGGATTCCCTTCATGACGTGCTTAAGACCATCGCGTGTTCGAAATCCATCCGCCCAGCCACTCGGATTAACACGCGTTGAGGTACATCTGCCACCAGCCAGCTGAAGTTACGCCTGGTCGTTATTCCATATATGGCCACTACTCTCGGTTTTCTATGTGCTCGTGTCGAAATAGGCTTCTATTCCAGTTTGAGGGAAGAGTCGGGGGAGGGGTGCGGTCCTAATGCAAAGGGATCACTGTAATCTCAAATCCCGCTTCTGTCCCAGCGACCATGGAGCATCTTTCACTTCTTCCTAGGCTCATAGAAAAACTCGTCACCATCATGTTTCGCGCAAACAGTTCTTCGAATACCAAATCTTACAGAATAACGCCAAAAATACCAAGTGCTTTCCCACAGTGCGTCGCCATTCGCAGCACGGATACTTACGTAAGTGCGAAATCCAACCCCACCATTTTTTTCAGTCGGGGGGGGGGGCGTGTGTACACTTGCATTCCCTCCTTCCTTGGTTTCAAGCTACGATGCAGGTGCGAGGCGCCGATGTGAAGACGCTGTGTGGCGTCAAGTTGATGATTTTGTCCGCAACTTGCACTGCTTTCCCTTGAAACTACGCGTATCCCAGTTGGGTTGGTTTCTTTTTGTGCTTCTTTACAACGTATTCTTACTATGTAGTTTTAGAGTTGAGGTGAATTTTTCGTACTTCGACTGTGTTTTGATATGTTGTTTGTTTTTAAGATGCGACATTATTGGCAGTTGTCGCAGCTTTATTTAAATGTGGTTTAAATATTCAAAATGTCCTTTGCATTTCTCAGTCAAAAACTGTAGTGCTGTAGGGAGTGCAGCTTTAAAATCGTTAAGCCACTGTGAAAACACAGTGCTAAGTGTTGTTTTGGCGTATCCATCTATTAGAGACTAACCAAGCTCCCTCCCCTTGGGACTTGCTTGTAACTTCCGCTAGACACTAGGCACTCGGAGGGAGAGAGCATCCTCCTCCAAGTGCCTAGGTCCCTCGGCAACGTGACTTAGATACCCGGGTGGGCGTGGCCACAGGGGCAAGGCTTCGAAATGGACCGGTGTTTCCCAAGTTTGTGCTGCAATAGATATTAGACGGGAGCACCGTTTACAAGGTAAACGTTCCTATTGTCTTCAAGGTGTGCTTAATGTTGATTTCATGATCATACGTAAGACCTGATAACCACTTTTTCGCCTCTGCCTAATGTATACCTTTGCAAAAAGCATAAATTCCAATCTAAGTTAATTCTTCCTCTCGAACCTCTCAGTTTCAAGCAGTAGAAACCCACAGCTGTTTAATAAGAAGGAAATTATCGTCTCCAAGCTCAGGAAGAAGCGCTGAAGCCTAATTATATCCGTCCACGTCAAGCCCTCGCCCTATTTTGGCCACGCCCAGGAACCTATCTAAGTAGCACGCACCCAGGTCCCTCGGCAAGCGTACCTGCCCTCAGTGTACCTTCCCCAGACCGCGGTTTAGGCTTAGAGCGCTACTAATGTCACTAAAGATTAGCTTCGCACCGTTTTTAAAGGCGCGGCGTAGCATGGACGCATTGACGGTTCGCTTTTTCTATTTTTTTTCTCTAGTAATTTATAGTTTCATTACCCAATTTCATTCTTTCCAGATTTCTTTTTTCGGTTCAATATTTATCGCCAATAATTCAATTCCATTCTCAAAGAATACATGTCGGACAAGCAGAAAGAGCTCTTCGCGGCTATTGAAGCCAGTAGGTGACATTTTTCTTTAACTTTTTTCTGGGTATAGCCTCCTTATAATGATGCCCGTATGGAGTTCAGAAGACTGCGAGAAAGCTATCGAGCTTGATCGAATCTGGTGTTGACATCAACTGTCATGATGCAGGAGGAATGTCTCCACTCGCTGCGGCTGCTTACAGGTATCTCTTCACATTTGGAAGGTTTCTTTTGAGCCATAAAATTGCGCTCAGAGTACATCACCGTTGTGCTAAACCCATCAGGGGGTTATATTTGGTCGCTGGGATAAGAGATCACGTGAGAGTTGCATCCCTCAACCACCACAGCGTGAGAGTCAATTGCACGGTGCATGTTTAGTGAATGAGGGGATCATTCTGACCCACCTCCATTTCACTCATCCCCATGCTCCCCCCTGATCGCGCTCATGCATTGTAGATATGGTGAGCCAACGAAAGTGAGAGTATACTTATCGATCTGAAGAATTCGGGAGAATGATCGAGAAAGTTGATCTTGAATTAGTCTCGCGAATTCCTGATAATAGCTGACTCTCCTTATTCACAAAGCATGAGCACAATTTAAGGCAGCGCTCAAACCTCGCGACGCGCATCGACGCTCTACACTTGCATTAGCTATTCCAAGCCGTAAGCGGGAACACAGCCATAGACATGCATCGATTGCCGCCGGCCGCTGGTGTTCGTAGAAAGCATAGGAGAGCAGGAGGTACTTCCAATTCCTCTAGACTCTCCTGAAACACTAGCCATGCGCGTTTTAGCGCCTCGATCACATCATCACGAAGTCTGACGCTAACTAACTTGCTAAGCAAGAACTGATGTGGTTGGGATGAAATGGGAATGAACCGGCCATCAGTCTCCACATTTCAGAGGCCTTTCTGATGTCGTTGAACTATGTATAAAGAAAGGAGCCAATGTGAACGATAAGGAACACAAGCAAAGCTATACTCCGCTCATGTTTGCAGCACTTGCCGGTTTGTTTCAGGCCTATCTTTGATGCTCTGCATTTTTTTTCTCCACGTACGACAGCTTTTCGGATTATCTGACTAAGTAATGGGCAGGGAAGAGGTTGTATGGGGAAGAACATGCGGTGGCGTCTTTATGTCTGATGCACGAAACTAGTCCCCGTGGACTCTGGTTGTCTCCACACTGCTAGGACCGAGTCTGGAGGGGACGGGACACAGTCGCGTCATGCCCCCCCCCTCCTCGTACCCCCGTGCATGATCCACGCTGTTTGTTTTTCACCATAAGCGAAATCTTCAGTAAACACGATTTTCCGCCAATATCTCATAAATAATGTTACCCACCATTAATGACGTAGTGGAGGGCCACTGAATTATGGAACTACTACAAGCAGTGTTTTTGGGAAGATATTTCAATGACTGTGATTAAAGTTCAGACTTTATTGTCCTTCAATTTCACTTGTTCCTGTTTTCGTGCTATTCTCCATAGTGAGCATTTTTCAAGGTAGACCAGATATCTGCAAATATTTGATGGATAATGGTGCACGCTCTTATTCAACAAACTCAATCGGAAAAACTGCCAAGCGAACTAGCGGCCTTTGTTGGTGAGGTGGTCGTTGATCATGATGTTCAGTCTTTCACTTTCTAACTGAAAATCATTTTGCAGGACAGCATGAATGTGTTTCTATAATCAACAATCATGTGAGCATCGATGAAATCGAAAAGTTTCTTTGCCCACAAGTTGCATCGGCCCCTACGGAAACATATCCGGAAAATCTTTCTCGATTTATACACAGAATGTGCAGCTGGCATCAGGTACGCTTTTACTTAACTGTGACTAGTTGAAAATATTTTTTTCCATTTCCAACATTAATTGTCAGGATAGATTCGCTAATGTACTGTGCTTTATCGGGGGGGGGGGAAGGAAGGAAGGAGAGCCAGGGGGAGATGGAGAGTGCTGTTCGGCTTGGCGCTTCAGGACACTTGTCAACCGCGAGCCTTCTTTCTCTTTCCTTCCCTCAACCCTCCTACTTGCCTTCTCTCTTCAACTACTGTGCCAGTAGATGCCATAAGGAAATACCTCTGGATCCTCGCTGCGAAGGCATGTCCTATTGAGTAGAGCACCGGAACGCTGTCCGGCTCGGAAGAGGAATCTTGCACTTTCGCTAGTTCCATTGGTTAGTTCAGGTTTAAGGGCAACACATCAAGTGTGAGGCCTGTAAACTTCTGCGAAGCTGCGAAATGGTGCGAGTAATCCACTTTGGCCACTTCTTTACAAGGTGACCTGTACCAGCTTCGCCGAGAACCATTCGGTGCACCCACCTAAACGAACTGCGCCCTCATCGCGCTAATAGGTGTGGCTGTAAAGGCAGTTCTGTCAAAAATGTTGGATTTGTGGTGCCAGGAATGCATTTCCCTATAGATTTATTCGCGCAACATATTTTCAGGTTCATCCTGTTGCTATTACTCTGGAACTAGGTGGATATGAGGACGCTGTTAAGTATCAGAAGAAGGTTAGTTGAGGTTTGCTTTGAGACTTCGCTTCTCAGTTAATCTATTAGCGGGAGCAAGCTTATGGTTTTTCTAACCTCGCTGACACTTTGCGAGAGAATCCTGCTGAAAATTTTTTAAAACCCGCAAAAACACAAGCGAATCCTCCAAAAATTCTCTAAAATCCATAAAACGGGACGTGGACATTCCACAGCAAACGATTAAAGAATGAAGTCGATTGACTCTTCTAACGATGTACTTCGGATTCCCACTACGATGCCGCGAATTCCTTCAGTTTGGTTTCACATTCGCAAAGCACGAATAGGGCCTATGGCGGAGGGGTACATCAAACCCTAAAAAACTCTTATCAATGCACATACATTTCAAAACTCATTTCCTACAGATCTTGTACGTTGTGGATCGTGTATTCGAAAGACAACTGCGATGCAAGGAAGGCAATGAAGTGCGATTTATTTTTTCGTTCATTCAGCACGATTACTATCTATTCACCCCTAATTAATGAGTGATTTAGGTGATGTCGCTGAAAGTGTGGATTATTCTTTTTGTGCTGCGAGAAATCTACAAGTTTATCGCTGAGCTGATATCTTCGGGCAAGAGTGTTCATGATGCATGTACTTGTGTATGCGAAATTCCTGTTGAAATGGGAACCCGGAGAACAAGTCAGGTAAGGCAAGCTTACCGTTCAGTACCATGCTTCGCTTTTATGCACAGAGGTTTTGTCCCGTTCGTCGTTAGTAAGATGACTAGGTTCTAGTGCAGTTCTCTTCTCAATCGTCCCCAGATCACACGATACATTCAACTAATTGTAATTCAACTGGTTTCATTTCTACCAACGAAATTATACAGAGCGCCGTTCGGCTTGAAGCGGGCATCTTACACTTCTTCTAGTTTCTTTTCCTCTTTCATGTTAAAGTAACAGGACTCAGTTAGATCAGGCCTGTAGAATTTTGCGGTATCGTGCTAGTGAGCCATTTCGGTCACAGAGTTTTCCAGCCGTTCGCGAGGTGGCCTGTACAAGCTCAGCTGAGCCTCCACCAAGCCGAACTGCGCCGTTATACAGTTGTCGAATTGTTGCTAATCTTCTCTCTCACTTCGAATTGTCACCATGTTCTTCTGGTCTTGGCTTTCGAAATCAAAACCGGCCATCTTTATATTCCGAGTGTTTTCTTTGGCGACTTTGCCCATCAATTTGCTTGACTGACAGCATTTTGGTAATCTTCCGAATGACTCAGTAACCTTGATGCTCGTCTATAACCTTGTCTTTCTCCTCACATTTTTGCATATTTGACCCGTGCAGGTTCAAACATGGCCCATCGTAATTTCTGTAAAATACAGTAAAATATTTTGAGTTATAGGAAGAATCAAGAGACACTGCTCAGAAACGCAATCGCTGCATTCCCTTATCATCATTCACTGCTTTATGAGACAATGGTTAAGGTGAGTAATAAGTTTTTTCCCCATCACACTGTGAGTTTTGCGATGTGATTAGGTGGGCTAATATGCAAATGGGATAAAGGGGCACTTGAACGACTCCTTGTACAAAACTAGGAAAGCTGTAATGGATGAGGACCTTCGCCTAGGCATAGGAAATCCAGAGTGGTTGAACCACTTCTTTGCATAAAAGGGTTCTCGCGTTATGATAAAGATTCAGATTAGACAAGGAGTCCGTCAAATGTCCCTAATAGGGGAACGTTTCGAAATGAGTTCGCATTCCTGGGTTTCCATAGTAGGCCGAAGGTGAGGCACATCCATCTATATCATCTGCAGTTGTGAACCCAAAACTTCCCTTGAAATACAGCATGAAAGTTCATCACTACTGCTCACTACTATTGGTAGTTCTACCTTTAATTCTTGGCAATTTGACCATCTTCTATGGGAAGTGGGGCACCTTCAGATAGAACATGGTCCCAGATGAAGCGGTGAGGGATGGCACACTAATCGCATTATATTTCCTCAGAGGTTTTTTCGCTACGACTTCAGGTATATAGTGATAGAGGAGTGGGCGAGCCTCTAACCGTAGAGCGAACAAGTTCTGAGATGGTTTTCAAAATAGCAATCCATATCGCGTTGGTAGAAATTCTTCGCTTCTCCTAGACCTAGATGGACAATTTGCAGGCCATGTCCAAAACGCCTTTTGGCGAAAGGCCCACTGCTTTTGAATACATCGTGCAAGGTCTGTTCGGTCAGCGATTAGTGATGGTCAGCAAGTTTTGTGGGACGTGTGGAGCATTCACAGCTAAGAAGCGCTGTCCGAAGTGCAAGGTTTGTCTTGACTATTTCTTTATAGAGCGTGCAGTACCAGAATCCTTCAAGGAATTCTGTTTCCAGTTATGCTACTGCTCTGTTGACTGCCAGAAGTTCGACTGGCCGATTCATAAGTCCTGTTGTGAATCTATCAAGACGTGGAACACTATTCCTGATGCGAAGGACACTATTTCCCTGGACGATATCCAGGCAACCATCAACGAAATAGATCAGTGAATATGTGTTTGAAATGTACCGGTTTCGCTGTGATTGATACTCATTAGATATTATATTTTTTTTGTTTTGAAAGGGATTTCATTGTCATTGATTCTTTCGTATGTTCTTCTCACTCGCAAAAGAAATTTTTTGGTTGAATATTGTTCTACTTTTCAGTTTCCATTGAGTTATCCCGCTTTCTGCTAGTCATGTTCTCCTTTTTAAATGGATTTCGGCCTCGAGCGGACCACTTTTCCCGCGATTTGTTTTGTTGCATTCTCACATTGGTGCCGCTCGTGTTTTGTTCATATCTTGCCGCTAGTCAGGTTCACCTTTCAGATGTCCATACGCAGAGTCAAATTAGATATTTTGATCACGTATTCAGGATTTTTTTGTTCTTAGTTTCCCTTATGATTTCGGCATTTTGTTAGTGTCTGTCTTCTAGTAAAGTTCCTGAGGATAGCCTTGTGTAGGAACAAATCAATTCTGTTTTAGCTACAAGCTACCGAAAATGTTTGGTCTTGGTGAAAATTGGAGATATTCAGGTTTTGAAGGTGATGTTCCTGGAAAAAATAAATCATGTAACGGGGGAACGAGAATGGGAGGTTGCCGAAGAGGACCATGATCTGGCGCAAGAGATTGCGAGGTGCGACTTTACACAGATTTGGTTTTTCAACATCTTCCTCAACGAGATTTCATCTTGAAGATAAACGAAAGTATCTCTGTTACTCTGTTCTGTTTGGACTGGGTTTCGATGCAGGTGTAGAGGTGCGTAGGGTAGCATTAGGTAGCACTAGGTGATTCAGTGTCCAGTGCATCGCTCACCAAAAAAATGTTTGGCAGAACCCTACCGCAATTAATCATACCTTTCCCATGGATCGGGAACCTGGTACCTTATTGTCTTGAGAGGCAAAGTGATAGGCTTCAACAACGTCTGGAACACATGTTCCTTGTGATTCATATTCCCCTGTACCACTGAATAAGGGAGTGAATGGCACTTCTGAAGGATCTGATCCACGCTATAGATTTCGTGGGTCACTGTGGGGACTCTGATTCAGCTGTCGGAAGCAATTGTAGGTTGTGTCTCTTATGAGAGAATCGCAGAGGGTTTTCTCTTTCGTCCCGACAAAGTGGTTGCTATCAAGCTGATCTTCGATTTCCTGCAAAAACACGTGCACCATGAGGTTCTTTTTCATGCAAATAGAGGACGTCGTGGTGCAGTATTTTGAGTTTCAATTTTTGCCGAGGTGATCTCAGTTCGCAGTTTTTAACTCCTCCTAGCGTTTAAGCTACGAGTGTCTTGCCATTCTTTCTCTGGTTTGGCGTGTGAACATTTCCTGTATGTTTCCCGGTGTGATGATTCGCTGATTAGGTGTTCATCGAAACTTCATGGAACCCTGCCCGTATTGTCTCAGCCATTGCCCTTTGCCTTCAGCTGGACCGTCACTAACTGCATGACTGTACCACCTGGAACCCTTTCTTAACTTTGGAAGAATATATCCACCTTAGCTCCTCATTCTAGCTAGGCTCTTTCCTGATTTTCGGGCCATGACCTGCTGCTTTGGAACGTCTCAGATTGCGTAGTTGTATTCTTAGGTGCTCTTGAACATAGAAAACTGAGACGAACACCAATCGCTTCTTCCCACTTGATCTATGGGTGTATCTACTTATACCCATTGTTTGTTATCCCTCATTTTCAGAGGAAAAAATGGCCCAAAACCTGTGGAATGCTTAACCGTTCCATTGTGCTCCTTACCTTGATCCAGTTTGAAAGGCAACTGCGCCCTTTTGTGCGCTGCCCTGAAGTTCTTCCAACGAGTCCTGCTGGTAGTGATATAGAGTACCCCCCTTCGGTCCTGTGGTGAACTCTGATGAGCCTCAATCATGACCTTGGTGCTAACGTTAACGAAAGGACCGTGAGTGGTTTAGGAAAAGAGCCGCAAAAAGCAAGCACCTACTTTACCTTATTAGTTTTATAGGAGCAGATTTGCTGATATGATTCTGGATTACAACAGAAATGACATGTTTCTGGCTGGTCTTCGTGCTGTAATACTGGAGAAGAAAAAACAAGGAGTCAAAGCGCATGTCATGGACATAGGTTCGTAAATTTCTTCGATTTTCCGTAGATCTTTAGTGAACTTCATAAATGTTCAGTGGGATAATGTTTTGAGGCCGCGTTCATAATTACGAGTGTGAGGAAGCGCGGTTCGATTGAACCTTAAACCAGGGAATTAGATGGGATTTGGGTGAAAGTCATATCAAAGTATCAAGAGAACACTAGTGGCTGGAATCGACCTATCCCCAGGCAATCCTTTATCGCATGTCTTCCGTTGGCCCACTCTCCACAGCATAGAGTATGGACGTCGCCTACGTGTGTTATCTGATTCACTGATGGAGAAATGGTCTACCTAGAGCTAAAGTGGACATGCTATCTAAACTGGCATGTTTCGCTCTGATAGATTTCGGGGCAGTTCGGCGACAGAAGGGGATGTTGCACTACCGTTACTTCCCATCTAGAGAACCCTTTCTTGAGTTCACAGGTTTTACCGTTTTGCTCCAGCTTCACAATAGTATGCAGGTTTCACCAGACTGAGAATCTAAACCGGAACTAGTGAAGCAGTGAAAGTGCAGTGCCCCCACTCCCTCCCACCCCGTCGCCGAACTGTGCTTAGATTTCTATTCATCTTTTTCTTCCGAGACCTAGTGCTTAATTGGCCCTCGCCTGTATCTCTTAGGACACTCTTGTCTTTTCTAGCTACCAAAAATATTTCGTATCGCAGTAGCTGTATCTAAAGTCGACATTTCACCTCCCACAATGAATTACGCTTTTAGGTTGGCCCTGTAAAGATTTGGGTTATACTCAAATTTCATTTAACTCGTATTGCTGAGTTCGTTTTGTTCTCTTTTCTGAGACCGAACTTCCAGGAACTGGAACCGGATTACTGTCCTTGATGGCTGCTCGAGAAGGAGCTGATAAAGTAACTGCCGTTGAAGTGTTCCAACCTATGGCAGATTGCGCCCGGTCGATCGTCGAGGCGAGCGAATGGCGCGATAAGATCGAGGTTCATTCATATATGATGATCTACGGCCATTTTTTGTTCTGTGGATATCTAAACATTCACATTGAACGTTGACTCATAAAAATATACCTCTAGTAGTAGGGCTTTGACAGAAAAAAAAACTAGTGCACCATCATTTCCATTGATTCTCTTTATGCAGATTCTTTAGGTTATACCATCTCGCTCCACCGAGCTCTCTCCTTTATCATCGAAGCCGAACATAATTGTTGCTGAGGTTAGTCAGCCAGGTCAACTCAGTTTTGGTGGATTTTGCAAGCGTTTATTGAAGGTGTTCGATACGGAACTGATTGGTGAAGGTGCACTGAGAACGTTCAAAGAGGCTCTCGTCAGTCATGTGCAGGTGGGAGAAAGAAAAGTTTCTGGCCCTATATCTCATGCCCAGTTTTCCTAGAGAATTGATTAACAGGCATCTAGACATTTCTAGCCGGGTTGTCGTGTAGTGCCGTCTCGTGGTCGAGTTTGGGTGCAGCCGGTTGAAAGTGCCTTTCTCTCCAAGTTCAATCGAATCCCTCGGTTAGCCGAAGGTGACTATTATTTTGGCTCTCTTCTATGGGCTAATTCTGAGGCTTGAATGTCAATTTCAAAAGTTCTTCTCGTTGGTTTCCAGAGGATTATCCCCTTGGTGAATGCCCTGGAACATCGGCCGTGTTTGACGTGCAGTTATCTCAGCTCAAACAAAACCAGTTTACTTGTCTGGCGGAACCTTTTCTAGCCTTCACGTATGTTTTGCTCGCCAGCCAGGATAATTTAAGATGCAGTCTAGAAATCTTAGCTGTTTCTTTTTACTCGTTTTTTTTTGGCGGTGTTTCCCCTTTGGGGTGATACCAACTGTATGGCCAGCGTAGCTCGTGACCAATGAGTTTTTTTAAGGTTTGATTTCGAGTCGTCTGAGTCAATCGTGTACGACGAATCATTCGATCGAGCTGCACCCTGTATAGAATCCGGTCAAGTGGATGCCATCTTGATGTGGTAAGCTGATTAACACAGTGCAATTTCCTTATTAAAAAAAAGAGATACCACCAGGTGGGATCTGGATATGGATGGAACGGGCAGGTACTGGATTGATATGTCTCCTAAATGGGCAAGTCGTGATTATCATGTGAGTGCTTTTGCGTTTTTATTTGCCTTACTATGGCAGGATTTAGTTCCCCTTTATCCGAGTTGCGGCGAAAGAGGCACCGTATTTGGTACAGGTGCACGACATTGGTACCAAGACCCAATTGCGCTTGTAAAGTCAGCTGGCTACCGATGGCTCACGCGACCTATGCTCTAGAAGGCAATCAGGAAACGGAATCTCCTCGAACACCTCATTTGTCATTGTGAAGAACATGTGCAATGGTGTACCACAAACACTTCGTACAACTTTACAAAGGAGATAGCCATCAGGGTTGGGCTACACCCAAGGATCTGCTTCAACCCCGTTCTGGATGTCACTGGAAAGGAACACATGGAGGGAGGGGGGGAGGGCAGTTAAGGTCAAGCTCTACGCCGTCGAGATTGACCTGAGGGCTGATACCGCAGAAAACTTCATTCTGGAGAATGACCGTTTTGAAGCAAATATAAAATATCATAACTCGCTTCAAAGTGTTGCTTTTCAATCGAAATAACGACCAAAAGACACATTTCTGCCAACGAGAAGGCAGTTTAGATATTCCGGCAGCATAAAATTCTGGAGTTCTGGAATCGACGAAATCGTTGAATGCCTTTTCTACGTCGTCTTGGTTTCGGAAGCATTTCTCGCGTAAGAAAATTTCGAGATGCTTGAAAAAGTGATAATCCGTAGGGGAAAGGTCTGGTGAGTATGGAGGATGGTCGAGAGTTTCATATCCCAACTCCATCAGTTTTTTTTGTTGTCATCAATGAAACATGCGGTCGGGCGTTGTCATGGAGTAGGATCGCGCCCTTTCTGTTGATTAATGCCGGCTGAATCCGATGCAATTTTTGGTGCATTTTTTCGATTTCCTCACAGTACTTCTCCGCTGTGATGGTTTCTCCTGGAGCCAGGAAGCTGTGGTGGATCAAACCGGCTGTAGACCACCAAACAGTCACCATGACCTTTTTTGGTGCAACTCCGGCTTTGGAAAATGTTTAGGAGCTTCGTCGTGATCCAACCACTGTCCTGACCGTCGTCTATTGTCGTATTGAATCCATTTTTCGTCACACGTCACAATGCGTTGCAGAAAAGGATCGTTTTTGTTCCGCAAAAGATGAGACGAACAGACTTCGAGACGACGAGATTGCTGGTGCTCAGTCAACTCATGCGGGATCCACTTGTCAAGTTTTTTTACCTTCCCAATTTTCTTCAAATGACGTGCTACAGTTCCGAAGTCAACTCCCAGCTCTTCAGCAATTTCCCTTGTGGATGCTCTTGGGTTGGCTTCTGTGTCTTCAATTTC